TTTTTTTGTTAGTGCACATCATCCAATAGTGATTTCCCTATAAGCCATGCTAGTCAGCTTTCAAATCCGTTCCTTGGTTTGCCACTTGAATCTGGAAAATGTGAATCATGTGGTGTTGCGGAACCCAGGACATGCGAAGGTATTTTTCATGTTTTAATCCTTTTTATTTTCTGATTACACTGAGAAGTTTGAATGGTCATGACCGCTGGACACATTGAAGTATTGCTAAAGTTTTGTTCATTTTTTTACCTTTCAAGTATATAGAATTACCAATTCCGGTATATCATCCTTCCCATGTGAGCGAACTAAAGCGGTTGTTGAGCCTGGTTTGCTTTAAGTGCTTGAAGTTGAGAAGTGGGAAGGTAATGGATATGTTTATAGAAGGCTCCACGTAAAATCTATTTGTCATAAGTAATTAAATCCTTTTGCTTTCTTGATTGAGAGGGTAGCAGATTATTGTGTTGTGTTATGGTAAGAATTTGAAGCTCTCGGTGATTGTAGATCATTCTGCCATAATATATCCTATATTTGATTATTTAATAAAGGAAGTTGGTAGACATTTGAGTGTGGTCACATATGTGGTGGCCCTTTTCTAAAAGTGTTGTGTGAATATCATTATTTTTCTATTGTTTTTCTGAGACATTTAATTTTATAAATTGTTTCTCTCTCCTTATTTTAACTAAAATGTAGAGTTAATTTGTGGAACTGATATCTCAACATAGAAGTGTTATATGTAAGAATATCTATGCCATTAACAGGGAAAGCTTTTAAGCCTTCTTAACATTTTATAGGCACCAAACTAATGAATTTTATTTATTTTTTGCAGATGATTTTGGACATACAAATGTGGATATATAATTTTTTGACAATTACAGAAGGGTGTTGTTTTTATACCTCTATCTGTATATATAGTGTTTCGAACAAATTAATTTGGTTATTCATGTATTATGTATGGATTTAAATTATTGACGTTGGATTAGACTTGGAGTGTATGGAATTTGTATGGATTATGTATGGATTATTAACCCTAATATATTTTAGTGTTGATGGATTATATTGTTTATACAGGGTACAGGTTATAATTTAAATTATTGACATTGGTTATTCATGTATTATGTATGGATTTAAATCGTGGTTATTCATATATTATGTTGAATGCTTTAATGGTTGATAATATATTTTAGTGTTGATGGCTTATATTGTTTATATAAGGTACATGTTGTAATATAAATGAATACAAGTTGTTTACAATTTTTTTTTTTTTAAAAAAAAACAGAAAATTATTTGGCCACCAAATGTTTTGGTAGCCAAATAGGTAATCAAAAGTTTTGGCTACTAATAATTTAGTAGCAAAAACATAACCCAAAACGTTTTTGCCACCAAATAATTAGTAGCTAAAAAATTTGAGAATTAGAGAAATAAACTATTGGCTACTAAATTTTTTCGTCTTGGTAAAAAGGGTATCATTTGGCGACTAAAACTTTTGGTGGCAAAAAGTAAAGAAATGAATCTTAATAGGTTTTTGGCTACGAACAATTTTAGTCAGCAAAAGGCACCACGCCTAAGGTAGAACTTTTAGTGACTAAACATTTAGTGGCAAAAAGGTTACGTTTGCCGACTAACAAAGGATTAGTAGCTAAATGTTCACTTTCGGTGACCAACGGTTTTAGTGGCGAAAAGATACCATTTGCCTACTAAAAGAAATTTAGTAAGGAAATGTTTCATTTTTTGCGACCAAATGAAGTTTAGTCGCCAATACTATCGCCGACGGGGCATGGGCGACAAACTTGGCGATAGAAATTTTTGGTCGGTTAATCGTTTTAGCGACCAAATTTATGCCTTTTGCCGACCAATAATTTAGTAGCTAAAAGTGACATTTCTTGTAGTGAATTGCTGTGTGAAATAACAATAACAATATCAATGTTCATTAGATTTGGAATGATAACATTCAATGTTCGTGGAATAAAATTTTGATGCAAAAAATTAAAATCTTACCAGAAGGTTGGGGGTTCAATTATCTCTACTTATTGGTGAGTCTTTGTCACCCTTATAAAGTCTTAAAAAAAAATAAAAATTCATATTGGTTTGGATTTCATAATTTATTTTTTAGAAAATTAATTTATTTTTTATTTTTCATATTTTTTATTTTCATTAAATTTTTTTAGGGCGAATTACAAAAAAAAAAACCTCTCAAGATTTCATGTATTTTTCAATTTAAACTCCAGGGTTTTAATTGTAACAATTAAAATCCTAATGTTACTTCTGTATCACAATTTAGCCCCTTCGTCCATCTCCGTCTCATTTAACAAATAGAATTTGAGTAAAATTTTCAAATTCTAGCCCACATATTCAAGCGTTTCTATCTCTCTCGTCGTAATTCCGTTTTGTCTCATTTTTGCGTCGTTGAATTCACCTCATGGCCTAGTTTTCATTCCACCTCTCATACGCCTTGTTCCACCTCTCTCTCTCTCTCTCTCTCTTGAATTTGAAAAAAAAAAGGAAAAAAAATCTTATTTTTGACCAACTTTTGAAGTTCTGACAACACGCAAAACACGGTAGAACAAGGTGTATGAGGGGTGAAATGAAAATTAAGTCATGAGATTAATCTAATGACACAAAAATAAGGCGAAACGGAGTTACGACGAGGGAGATATAAGATTTTGAACATGTAGATTTGAATCAGAAAGAGAGAGAGAGATCTTATTTTTGACCAACTTTCGGAGCTCTGACGGCACGCAAAAAGAGATGAAACAAGACGTATGGGAGTGGAATGAAAACTAGGCTATGAGGTAAATCTAACGACATGAAAATGAGATGAAACAAAGTTATGACGAGGGAGATACAAAGATTTGCACATATAGATTTGATTTTGAAAAGAAAAAAAAAAGAATTTTTTTTTTAATTTTTGGCCAGCTTTCGAAACTCTGACGTCACGTAAAAAGAGGTGGAACAAGGCATATGCGGGGTGGAATGAAAACAAAGCCATGAAGTGAATCCAATGACACAAAAATGAGATGAAACGAAGTTACAATAAGGGAGATATAAGGTCTTGAACATGTGGATTTGAATTTAAAGAAGAAAAAAAAGAGAAATCTTTTTTTGGCCAACTTTTGGAGGCGCACAAAAAGAGGTGAAATAAGGCGTATAGAGATTGGAATGAAAATTAAGCCATAAGGTGAACTCAACAACATGAAAATGAAGTGAAATGGAGTTACGACGAGAGAAATATAAAAGTTTGAATGTGTAGGTTTGAATTTGAAGAAGAAAAAAAGAGGAAAAAAATCTTTTTTTTGGTCAACTTAAGGAGCTCCGACAGTATGTAAAAAGAGGTGAAATAAGACATATGAGGAGTGAAATGAAAATTAGGCCATGAGGTGAATCCAATGATGAGAAAATAAGGCGAAATGAAGATACAACGAAAGAGATATAAGGGTTTGAACATATGGGTTTAAATTTAAAAATTTTACCCAGATTTTCGTTAGCTAAATGAGACAGAGATGGACAGAAGTTGTGACACGGAAATAACATCAGGGCTTTAATTGTTACAATTGAAATCTTGAGATTTAAATTAAAAAATACACGAAACCCTAAGGTTGTGTTTGGAACACTTTTCCAAAGTTCATTCTACCTCTTTATTTGAGTTTCATGTTTGTTTACGGTTTTCTAAAATTAATTTCACATTCAATTTTGAAAACTCTGTCTAAGACGGGAAAATTTGGACTAACCGATCGTCCCACCGGACGTCCCACAGATCGTTCGGCTGGTTAATCGAAACAGTAATTTTAATTTTTTTTTTTTTTTTGCAATTGACACATTAATTTTTATATATTCGAAAAAAAAAATTAAAATTTTTTATAAGCTTTAATAGAATTTTGAATTGTGTGTTTAGTTATGAGTTGTAAGTTTTTGTATCAATATCATATGTCACTTCAAAAATTTCCCACTCAATTCAAAACTTTTTTCAAAACTCTTTCACCAAACAAATTTTCTACACTAAAATCATAATTTCAAAACTCACAAACTCAAATACAACTCCTCTCAAATCATATTTAAAAAGCTCTATCAAACGCAATTTAAGATTTTTTTTATAATTTGCCCATTTTCTTATTATTCTAAGTAATTTTTTTTTTTAAATTTTTAGATGCACACTTAAAAAATGTAATATTTATAAAAAAAAAAATTAAAATTCACTAAATATCAAAAATATAAAGAGATAGGAAAATTCAATACATTTTTCATATTTTTGTATATTTATTAATTTTTTTAAATCTTTTTTTACAAATATTTTACTTTTTAGATCCATCTAAATAACATACATCTAAAAAAACAAAAAAATTATTTAAAATTTTAAAAATATCCAATAAAAAAAATAAGAAAAATAAAAAATTTAATTTCTAAAAAATTAAAATCAAATACAGTGATCTTCTATCAATTCACGCACCAAGCACCCAAAAAAAAAAAAAAAAACTAGCAAAAAGCCATCAGATTCTTGTAATAAGGATTTACTAGTAGCATGACAATTGAATTTGGAACATTACAAAAGGAGATATTGTTGAGAGAACTTTGATTTTAATGTTATTTTCCCCAAATTTATTTTTAGTTGTCTAAACTTCTCAAATACATACTTTCCACACAAAAAAAAAAAAAAGAAAAAGAAAAAAAAAACAATAAACAAAAACAAAAAAGTTTCCATACTTTCTACCATCACAATCAAATTCTTTATTCTCTCTCCTTACTTATTTGCTTTGGAATACACGGATCCCCAGCTTCAATCTCAGAGTCACCAAGATATATTACTTTGTAACATTCTACACTCGAAATTGCATTTTTGGATCTTTAAAACACAATTGCTACACCTGCTTACTATCTAAAATTACAACCGACGTTACAACAATTTGTATGTTTTTTTGTATGTTTTCACTGAATCTGCATTCAATGTTCTCAGAGATCAACATTCATGGAGTACACATCAAAGCTCTGGTCTCAGAGTCACCAAGATATATTACTTTGTAACATTCTACACTCGAAATTGCATTTTTGGATCTTTAAAACACAATTGCTACACCTGCTTACTATCTAAAATTACAACCGACGTTACAACAATTTGTATGTTTTTTTGTATGTTTTCACTGAATCTGCATTCGATGTTCTCAGAGATCAACATTCATGGTGTACACATCAAAGCTCTGGAGACTTTTAACCCACTCACCTTGCACACAAAACCTTTCCCCATCTTATGGTCTACAACATGCTCATTTTAACCTAGAAACTCCAAGATCAATCCTCAAGTAGAGATTGGAGTGGTTGCACAGGCTACTTTTTTCACCTTCTGTAATGACAAAAACAACGAACAAAAAAATTGGTGATGTACAACAATTTGTCAGTAAATAAACATATAAGAATCAGATTCGGCTTACATTGGAGATATCGATCCACGAATCAAGGGTCTTGAGAGCTTTGCCAGATAGCAGTGCTTTGCGAGCCAGAGCTACTCCTTCGGCTAGAGTGTTTACACGTCCACTGACCAAGAGGGCTGCGCCAGCATTTAGCATCTGATTGATTGTTTTGGTCAGAAGTAAATCACTGATAACTGAAAAACTATTCTTTAACATGTTCAAGTTTGTTCAGCTCCATCAATCAGATCTAAGAAGCACAAATTACTTGAATTTAATGTTTAATCAAGAGCTAAGAAGGATAAACATTTCTAAGAAGGTGGCGTGTCACACATGCCCAAACGTGCCAAAATTTCTAGACCTTGACACGCTTCGGAGACTTGGGAAGCATGTCTCCATCATATTGATGCATGTGAAACACATCACAAATTTGAACAAAATAACTTCTGATTTAATGATAGAAAAAAAGCAAAGCTTTAGACCTATTAATCCATCATCCTTTAAACTTTAGAAATGCATGTTATGTTGTGTATTTTTATTATTTTTTAATGAAGTATTCAATCATATTATACATTTTTCATGTATGTTCTACATTTTTTGAAAATTTTCATGTTGACATGTCTTTGCGACCATGCCAGTGCTTCTTAGATCAAGAATAAAAGATTAACTTCTTTAGAAAACAAAATGTTCATCCTCATATTCTTTTTTTTGTTAACCGGGAGCCATATCCTAGGCAAGGTCCTTTGGGCCCACCCCAGGAGCCATAAATCCGAGGATCAAACAACACCCTCTAATCAGATGATCCAGGCAAATGGCAGGGGCCGACAAGAGTCGAACCTAAGTTGGGCATGTGGGGAGCATACCCACTGACCAACTAAGCTACCCCTCAGGGGTTCATCCTCAGAATCTTCAGGGTACACTGCAAATACCATAGTGTGAAAGCCGGCTCCATTTGGCAGAGTTTTCAAAACTAGTTTTCTAATTTTTTTAGTTTGACAAAAATAAACACCAAAAAAGATATATTTCTAAAAATAATTTTCTGACCTTAAGAAAAGAAAATCATATGACAATAATGAGTATTTTTTCAAAAATTTTTTCATCAAACTAGTTTTTGAAATTTTTTCAAAAAATCAATTCTGAAAACTCAACCAAATCCCTAAGAATACAAGGCACAAATCCATTCTCTCCAATGAAGTCAATAAAACACAGCAAAAATAGTGCCAAGCATTGAAATGGCAAAAATTTCACAAAGATTGCCATGAGCTCATTCAAAAAGCTGCATAAAGCAGAAATAACTGATTCACTTCCATTGTTATATGTACATAGCCCCTCAACGAATTTCAGATCTTAGCTGAAACTAAATTAGAAATGAAAATAGTGACAGAGCCAGAGAAGAAACTTACCAATGCATCAGCAATGGAGCCTTCTTCTCCTGATAGTACGCGCTTTAGTACATCTGCATTATACTGTGGATCTCCACCCCGCAAGCTATCCACCCCACAGCGAGGGATTCCAAAATCCACTATCCAATAACGATTTTGTTCTATCAGAATACAGGACTGTGAAATACAAGTTTAAAAAATTTATAGCAATAATTATTTAGGACATAAGTATTTCAAGTGACGGGTCATTGTTGAGGCTTCGGTGTTGCACCATACGATTCAATTACTTGCAGGCATTTGCTATTGAAGTTTATATAACCAATTGTCCAAAATATTAATTAATGAATTGATTTCAGGGCAGAATTGAGATACTTACAGGGATCAAATGAAAACTTCTCAATCTTATCGAAGGTAACATCAAGGACTAATCCAGGCCCTGTCCACAGCAGTATATTTAATTTATGCTCAAGTAAGATAAACAAACTTTAAGTTTGTATAGTTTGGGAAGGGGTTCTAATTGATCAAAAAGAAGAATCTACTTCATTATTATTAAACCTATTACACTAAAATTAAGAGAGCTTACCAAGAGGACTCATTTCATCCAGACCTTCAGAGTGAACCACCAATGCCCTTTTCATGCCAAATCGTTGAAGTGCTTTCGCCATTTTATAGACCTGCCAAAGGAACAGAAAAGAATACCCCTTTTAGGACATATAGATGGGCCACTCTAAAAATCACCTTCAACTAGTTACAGAAATGCATAGCTAGCATTCACTGCAATATACGTCCTCTTCTGTGGTTCTACATAGGAATGAATCAGAAAACACAAGGAGAGGGACAATCAGAGCGTCTTGATCTTGTAGATAAGAAGTCTCCTGTTCTACAATCACCCTAAAAGGGAGGGGGTTCTTCAGATCATAAGTGAAGGCATTGATCTTCAATTATTGATTGCATATACAAGTTGCTACAAAGTTTTAAATTTGTGGACATGACATTGACTAGTAAATCCAGCAGATCAATGGCCACTTAGATGCAGAAAAAAAGAAAAGAAGAGATTATTCTTCTCTGCGATACTGTTAAAGGTCATGTGAGATATGCAATGAATGAAATATTGTATTGCTAAGAAAATCACCAGTCATTAGTATCTCAGCTTTTACAAGTTCCTTAATTTTTGAAAGTTGGAAGGCCAAATATACACAATCAGCCAGAAAACCCATGGAGTGTTAAGAACAAGAAGCAATTAGAGGAATCAACAGTGGAATTACATACCAATTCTTCCTTGTATACACCAACAACAGCATAAGGTACCCGTGCTGGATTCAACATAGGACCCAAGATATTGAATACAGTTTTCACTTTTAGCTTTTTCCTCACAGGACTGACAATTTTCATTGCTGGATGGTAAATAGGAGCCATCATAAAACCAATTCCTGCTTCTTTTACACACCTTGTTACCCCCTGATACCATTAAAAATAAGAATTTCACTACAGGCAGATAAAATAGTTTACGCAACTTATTTTTATTTTTACAGTTGTAACCCTACGTTCAACAAAAGTAATGTGAAGCTATGTTGTTAATCCAATTCTCAAATGAAAATAAAGCGCAATAATGTGGGTCCTAGGCAACCTCTGTTTCTATGGAAATTCTAACAAGTAACATAATTTAACTCATTGTTAATTAAGGACATACCCTGAATTTAGAAAGGATAAACCCTGCTAACAATTTCGCATGGAATCCCAAGAAAAATGAAGCAACCAATATGATGAATTAAAATAAAAAAACTAAGCATCACAACTGCAAAAGAGAAAATATCTATTACATGCCTTACCTAACCTCATGAAAAACAAACAACTTTTATGTTAAAAAAGGAGGCTGATTTAAGACAAAGAAGATCAGTTCCAATACAATTAGTATTGGGATAATGGTTATCACTTGTGATTGTTATTAAATAAGGATAGCAGTAGTTCTTTATTTCATTTAGTGGTTGTAATCGTTCTTTGATAAGAAAAGAAACAAAATTCTTCTTATGGATGAATAAACCTGTTGAAGCATCTGTATACTGCAATGCAGCACCATGAAATATACAGCAGGGGACCCCCAAAAATGGGTGGGGGAAGAAAAGAAAAGAGAAGGGAAGAAAAAGAAAGCACTTTCCCATCAATGTTGAAGGGTTAGATTGGTTTATTCGAGCCATTCTATTTTGGAAAGCAACACTTGTCTCCACTTTTGATATCTCACATTTGATGATGTCTTTTTTTCTTTTTTTCTTTTTTTCTTTTTTTTTCTTTTTTTTTTTTAAATTTTAAATTTCAATACCTAGTGCCACTTCCACCCAATAGAACTGTCTTAAGCAACAAAAAACTGAAATGATAAGGGGCAACCTCTAATGTGGTAGCCCAACATACCACAGGTATAGAATTAACAGCAGAAACATAATCCACCAAAAAAAAAGAAAAAGAAAAAAGGCTAGATTGAAATCATATGTTTGCCTAATTGCAGTCAGTTCTTATGAATTTAGTATTGCTTTCATAATTCAGGATGCCAGAGCATGCTACAATGGAACCCACATTCCGCAATTAATGACTTAATTTCATGAATAACACAAGGAAAATGCTATGCAAACTAACAAATTTACAAACTTTTCTTAATCACAAATGTGGCATGCAGTAATACAACTTTCAAATCTGAAATAGGACAATCAATGAGTAAATTTTTTATTTTTTATTTTTTTTTGTAAAAGATGTTAATTTGTAACAAAAGTTACAAACTTTTCTTAATCACAAATGTGGCATGCAGTAATACAACTTTCAAATATGAAATAGGACAATCAATGAGGGGGAAAAAAAAAGTTTGTAAAAGATGTCAATTTGTATAGCATTACTCATAACACAAACCTCTGGGTCCAGGTCAATTACGACCCCCAAGGCTTCTAACACATCGGCACTTCCACAAGCGGAAGAACTTGATCGATTACCTTGCTGCAATGCAAACCCCAATGAGCTTTTATATTTCCAAACAATTACAAGTATTGAAAATTCACACAACAAAGCAATTCAAAAACAATCGTACCTTTGCAATTTTTGCACCACAAGCAGCCGCAAGAATTGAAGCACCAGTCGAAATGTTCACAGTGTTTGCACCGTCACCTCCCGTCCCAACAATGTCAACCCCATCTTCATCCAATCCTTCCACCCTTTTACAATGCTTGATCATTGCCCTTGCCAATCCCACTATCTACACAATACCCAATTGAAGTCGACGCATACAAACACAATGTGAGACTAATTATACATGTATATGCAGAAAAAAATTGAAAATATTGAAATTTAAATAAGAAACTTGAACAGTTACATACAAGCAATTTGGGTATCTCAGAAAATGAGTGACACTAGCTGAGTTGTGTGCTTCATAGTAGTATAGATAGTGTGTGTGTATATATATATATAGAGAGAGAGAGAGCATACTTCTTCATAAGTTTCTCCTTTTGCTCTCAACAGAACAAGAAAGGCACTGATCAACGCCTCATTAGCTTCATGCAAAAGAAAATCCAGAGACGCCTCGGCCTCTGATTCCGACAAGTCAACTCGATTAATCAAAGACTCAATCAACTACAGAGAAAACCCACATAGATAGAAATCAGAATCGCACAAAAAAACAAAAACCCAAAATTCAAAACCATTTTTTAACAAAGAAAAACAGAGATTGAGTTGATTGGAACCTCGTTGAACGATGAAATCGTTGGTGAAGAAACAGAGGACAACCCAGACACCAACGCTGCACATTTTCTGGTCCCAGCAATTGGTGAAGAAGCTTTGAAGAAGCAGCTTCGGAGCTCATAACTCGAAAAGGGTCGGCAAATTAATGCAGAGGAAGAGAAAATTAATGGGGTGTTGCAATGAATCACCGCCATTACTGATTTGACCCACCAAACAACCCCCAAAAATTAACTGCTTTGGATCAGAATCAAATATGTACGTCTATACACAGAAAAAGTAAGGTTGTAATTAATGTGGATCAGAATCAGAAATGAGGAGAAGAATTAAATGGGAGAGATTTGGGGAGATAGGAAATATAATCTGAGTTGATGATTTGAACTATATATAAACTAGGGTTCTTGATACGAAATTATTATTATTAATTGTCAATTATTATTATTATTATTTATTTTTTAAAGTAGGATCCACAAAAATAAATTTTGCATTTAGGGATTGTTTGGGATGACCCAAATAAGTGTACTTTTTATCTTTTTATGAAAAAATGTGCAGAAAAATAGAGAGGTGATGTGATGAAAAAAAGATAAAAAGATAAATTATTTGAGGTATGCCAAACTTGGCCTTAATGAATGGTTGAGAAGTTAATTTTGATAATCTAGAGTTCTTGATATGAAATTATTATCATTAATTGTAATTAGCTATTATTATTTATTTTTGAAGGTAGGATCCACAAAAATTAATTTTGCATTTAATGAATGGTGGAGAAGTTTTGATAAACTAGGGTTCTTGATATCAAATTATTATTATTAATTGTTAATTATTATTATTGTACGAGTACGAAATAATCTTCTCGTATTATCCTGTTGATCAAGTTGCACTCCTCTAAACGTTGTCGCTTTACTTTCTGATAATACAAACATGAGCTAGCCAACGGGTGTATGTCGGATACCTCTTCGATGCCTAAGTCAGCAAATAACAAATAGACAATAGACAATAGACAAAAAGCTCTGTGTTTTAGAGAGTAAAGATTGTGATACATGTACATAAGTCCTATAATGAGATTCTGCCTGGCACAACCCTAATAGAATTCCAACTCTCTTTAGTAGAATCCTATTAGGAATCACTTAAAATAATGATTATCTTTTTACACCCTCCTCATTGCTTAACGAAGTGAGATGGTCTTACCATGGTCTCGATAGCAGCACATCCGTCCTAACACTGCCTTGCCTCACACTAGTCTTAACCGTGCCCACCTAGCTCGGTGATACCGTGCACCTAGCTCGATTATACCTCTATTTGTATCTCGGTCCACAGCAACCAAACCGAGCTATTAACAGATATCACCAGCAGAACGACACGAGATCAAGGACCGAGCTATTAACAGATATCACGGTCCACTTTCTCGGCCCATAGCTTGGCCCACCTTCTGTTTAGTATTAGCTCGGCTCATCTTTATTCACAAATTAACCTCTCAATTATCATTTTTTATTTTTGAAAGTAGGATCCACAAAAATTAATTTTTCATAAAAATAAATGGTTGAAAGTTGTTTTGATGGAGTTGTTGGGAAGTATCTATTATAGCACTCTAGGAAACTTTAGGAAAATTTCACTCTAGAGGATCCTTGGTGTTATGAAAAATGTAGTCAAAAGTTATCTATTATCATAAATCAGAATAATTTAAGGATAATTGTCACTTTTTCTTTTTAGAATATTCATATTAATAATTTTTAAGTGAGAGATTTATTAGGAAAGTTTTTTTTTAAAGTATTTATATCTTAATTAGTTCATAAGTCTTATTATTTAGATATTTGATGTATCAAATTTTAATTCTCATATTTAAGATATTTTATTGATAATTTTACCCTTTAAATATTTTTTGAACAGTTAACAATTTGATGATGTAAATATTCATATTTTACAATGTGAATATTCACATTAACGTGTGAATATTCACATTATGAAATATTCATACCATTAATATAAATATTATTATTAAGAGTATTTTGGTATGTCCACCCATATAATTTATTGAAATATAAAAAATAAAAAAATTAATTAATTAAGTAAAACATAAGTACATGAAAAATGATTTGGTGCCCTTTTTTAAATTCATTTGTCCACTTTTTACTCTTTCAATATTTTTTTCATAACTGTTAAGAGCTTTTAGGACAAATTACATCGTTATAAATTTTGTATCATTTTGATCCTTACACTTTAACTTATTTTTTGATCCTTAAATTTTGAAGTTTGTATTAATTTGATTTTAATTGACAACGTTACGATTTTTTATAGAAAATCATCACTGAGGTGACTAAGATTAACTCACTAAATTAAGTAAGTTTATAATTTTACCTCTAATAACATGACTAGGGGTGTTTGCAGATCATATTAGATCAAGTGACTTCTCGTCCGTCATTCAGCTGAACTTAGATAGATTGAAAAAAATCAATCCCATTCGTTTGCTTAGTTAGTAAATATGGATTGAGCGGGCTATGCAGATTGACGAGTGGATGATGATTGATTTGGCAATTTGAGATTTACTATTTTGGACTTTTTTTAGACTATTTTCTAATAGTTTTTTTTTTTAATTTTTATTCTGGGTCTTATTTAGGCCTAATTTTTTATTATTATTTATTTTTTTATAATAAAAATCAAGGCCAACTCTTCATAAGTCCATATGTAAGATTGGTGTAAGTCATTACTGTATGTTAGAGTTGCACCCCAAAAATATTCTTTTGTATAGTACAATTATGTTGTAACTATTCCACCCATTTACAATTTGCCCAAAGCTTTTTGATATAAATTGTACAAAAATTTATTTATTTTTACATTTTTTTTACCACCATCATGCTAAGCAAATGCACACATTTTTATTTTTTTTTATTTTTATTTCATGCACTTCACATCAAATCTCGTTTCTTTCACTTTTCACCTATAAAAGCTATCTTGGAAATAAAAAACACTCCTCCAGCAGATTGTTCAAATCTCGCTGAAATAGTTAAGATATACAGTAACTCGCCAGGACAAGCGAGGCATTGTTCATGGACCTTTCAATTTTTTTTATTAATTTTTCCTTCACCCATTTCTTATTTGGCACTAAAGTGAGCAAAACTTCCACCAAATAGTTGACCACCTTTTTTGTCTAGCCTTGGTCATCTACCTACTCGACCACTCAAAGTTTTTAATAATATTTTAAAAGAATTTAGTTAAAGTAGAGAGTTTGTTAGAAGGGTAAATTACACTTACACCCCTTGAGATTTGAGTTCAATACATATCACTCTCTGATGTTTGGAAAATTATACTAACCCCCTGTCATTGTAATTATTTAAACGGAATGAAGACATTAAACTCATGCACTCTCTCTTTTCTTACTTTGCTTTACTTCCTCTATTTTTTTTCCCTTTGCTTTACTCATTTTTTTCAATGTAATTTCCTCTATTTTTCTACTAAGAGTTGTTGCCTTTTATATCAGTAAGGGGGTTTGTAAAATGAAACTATTAACCACAGGGGTGAGAAATGTAATTTTCAAAACATTATGGAGTGGAATATAATTGGACCAAATCTTAAGGGATGTCAGTGTAATTTGCCCTTGTTGGAATGTATATTTAAAAAGTAGCTAGCTAAAATAGTAAAGTGAAATTATAAATAACTAGTTTAGGATTCATTTGGGATGTTGGTTAGCTTTTTGGCTATTTTAGCCTGGGGTTAAAAAATTCCATTTGGGATAGGTTTTTTGGCTTTTTTAATTTTTGTGAGAGAAAAAATGAAATGATTATGATTTAAATGTGACATTTTGTCTTATTGAATTAAAAAGTTTATTTTGTCTTTTTGTAATTATTTTAGCCAAAAAACTCAGTTTTAACTTATGCCAAATGAAAGCTTAACTATGCTTGTGGGAAATACTCTAAGAGCATCCCTACCAGTTTACTTAAATTTTACCCTAAAATATTATTAAAAAATCCATTCCCTATTTTAGGAATCACTTTTTCATTTAGTTCTCCCAATAGACTCCCTATTCTTTCTCTATTCTATTAACAAACTCCCTAGTTTTTTCTTTATTTTATTAAAATATAATTTTTAATTATAAATTTAATAAAAATAAAAATCATAAATGTGTATTGCAGTCCTTAAACAAAGCAAAACAATATATATATATATATATATATATAAGGGAGCTACAGTGACTCCCTATAAATAGGGAGTCACTGTAGCAAAAACTAATTTAAGGAATTATTTAGGAGATCTGATACTGGTGGATAGGGAGCCATTTATCCCTTAAAATAGGTAAGGAGGGGGTTTAGGGGCTTTGGTGGGATGCTCTAACTAAATGATATGCCAAAGAGATAAAGATTTAGATGGTGAATTTCTTATATTACTATTAAAAGTGTATATATTTATTTCCATTATATAAAATATATAAATCACTTGCATGAACATGTTTTGAAGTTTGGGTAAATTATACTTATCTCCTCTGAGATTTTTGATAAATACATATTAAAAAAACTTCTCTACTTTTGCTGATAATATTAAGATTCTATCAATTTGTGACCGTCATTACCAAAAGTGACAGACATTGCTAATGCCATCAAATATAAATCCTAAAATGCCAAGAATGCCCTCAAGTGTTCTCAACTCATCTATAAATACCAAATTCAATTGAACTCCATCTCCAGTAAAGTTTAATTTCTTGACGTGATTTTTTTTTTTCACAATAAATTTTTAAAATTTTATATATAAAAAATAAAAAATTTGGATAAATGAAAATAATAATAAAAATAAAATAAAAATTCAACTATTAATGAAGGTTAATTTAAAAAAAAATAAATGAGATAAATAAAGATAGAGAAATAGATTTTAGGTGTCACACATAACAAATTAATTGAGTATTTTGTTATCCTTGAATAATTTCTTCATTTAAGTAAAATTTAATTGTTTGAATTGTTTATTATTCTCAAATTATTTCTTGATTCTTCATTCCCTATCAATTAATTGTGACGGGGTTATATTTTTTTCACTTTTATATTTATTTGTAAATATTTTTTAATAATATAAAAAATATCGACGGCGTGTTTTTAAATATGCATCTATTAGAAGTTTAAGGATTCAAAAATAAAAATAATAATTTAATAATAATATATGATTGCAAAAAGATAATATTCCTACATATGAATAAATAGGGCAAAATTCACTTTATCTCTCAATGGTTTGGGCCGTGTGCGATTTACTCTCCTGATATTTGGAAATTACCATATAACCCTCTGATGATTACTGGGTTGAAATATACAATTAACACCGTTAATGGTAGAAAGAAAAAGACTATTTTGCCCTTGTCTATCTATATCTATGCTATTATTAAGTGAAGGCCTAAATTGG